AAAAAAGAGGATGATTATATAAGAATTGCTGATATTAGAGTACAATTCTCAAAATTATAACTGTGTGTACTTCCAGTATATACTACAGTCTACCCTCCTGTTTCATTCTGTCTATAAGCCACACGGCAAACTAGATCTCTTTTAGGATTGTTCGTCTAGATATTATAATTATACATATAAATATTCATTTTCTATAGAATTCTTTTCTTTTTTTTATTTTCCGCTTTTGTGCCCGCCTCGAATAGCCCTAGCTACTTGCGGGCCCAAGCATTGTAATTTTCATTTTAAGCTTAAATAAAATTTGTTGTTATTTGTTGTTGTTGTTGAGTTTTGGTCAGTACGTCACACTCGTCCATTTTCTGACGGACATGTTGTTCCGGAGTCCGAAAGTTCCTCAGCTTCTCGTAACTTCTCTGGGTTTTGTCATGGAGATCTTTCAAAAGGAAAATCGCTTCGTCTTTCTCTAATTGCTACGATGCCAGCTGTTTAGGGATGGATGATTCGATATATGTTGCTTGCGCCTTCCATGCATCGTGGCTTTCTTGAACGTTCTTGATGAGTTGATCTTCTAATTTTCTTCGCTCTCTTTGACGCTCTTCTTGGTAGGCTAGACCCTTTTCGGTGAGCGTTTTTACTCTGGAGATTCGTTGTTGACGCTTGGAGTGCTCTTGGATGGAATCTGTACTTAAGCTATTTTCGCTATCATTATCTATATCACTATTTACTGTAACTTCTTCTACAAGCATAGAAAGTGATAACTGCTCCTTAGTCTTTAAATCTTCACCTTCTAAGCGAGACATTTTAACTTTACGGGTTATAAATAAACTTAAAATGCTTTCTTCTTATCTCTTAAACCTCTTAAATGCCGCGTAACTTTACTATTTAAACTTAATGAAAGGAAATTGTCCATGAAGCGTGATCTCAAAAGCGTCAACTTAATTCAGCGATATTGCCGAGTCTTCTTAATTAAATATTGTCTCTACATGTTCTTGCAACTAAAAATCTCTTAAATTACTCTTTACTTTACTTATGATTTCCGTTTCCTTGACTCGAGTTTGAATTTCACGCTTCTTGACCTTGGTGACTCGATGAAAGTTACTGACTTTGACCTTGCCTTCCGATGGACTTGCTGATTTCTTCGCTCGGTTCGGAAAGGTTGGGCAAGTTCTCACTAACAATTTGACAGGCGTGTTGTGCAGGTTCCGAAGATATCCATACGCTATAACCTGCGACGTTGAAAAGATGTTTCACCAGTTCATTGTACGTGAAGACGACCGAGACTATTTGCGATTTCTTTGGTGGCCTAATGGCGATGTCAAGCGAGAACCTAAGGAGTTCAGAATGAAAGTTCAAATGTTCGGGGCAACATCGTCGCCTGGCTGTGCCAGCTACGGTTTCAAATATATGGCGAGTCAAGAGAAAGAAGCTTACCCTCTCGCAGCTCAGTTCATTTTACATGATTTTTATGTTGATGACGGATTGGCCAGCGTAGAATCCGAAGACCAAGCAGTAGACTTCATCCAAGGTGTTCGTTTAGCAAAGTAAGAAGTTGAATAAATTTTACGGACATCAGTTAGTGAACGCAGGGTTCTTACACTTTTTCGGGCCAAAGATTCAAGGACTTTTCAAGGACATTCCAGGACCTTACTTAGAAATTTCAAGGACTTTTTGTAATGAAAATTTTACCTCAAAACCAAGAAAAATGTTTCTGTTAGCAAAACAAAAGCAGATATTTTTCGATGTTGTTCAATAAAAAATCAAGGACATTCAAGGACCCAAAACGAAATTCAAGTACTTTCAAGGCCTTGAAATCGGCCTCCTGAAATTCAAGGGTTTTCAAGGGTTTTCAAGACGCGTACGAACCCTGTGAACGTGTGATCACTGGAGCAATAGTGAGAACTTGGTGCCGCTATCACTAGAACAATTCAAAAAGGTTTGAGCACGGTGGCTAAAACTTCGCTCTTGTGTCAACCTTCCTAGCTATAGAAGGAAGGCATGGTAAGCACAAAAATGATACAATTTTTTCATCATTCGTATAAACGGTTCCTATTTTAGGACCAATTTACTGATCTTAACCCAGCTTGACTGCATTTATGTATTAACAAAAAGCAATTAATGAAAGCACAGTTTCATACCTTCTACTTCAATGAAGACGACCGAGCTCAAGTCCAAATGGATAGGGAATCTGTTGTACTTGACCTCCTCGGTGAAGGAATCGTTCGCAAATATTTCAACTTTAACTTCTCCAAAGATTAAATTATTTGCTCCTAACAAAGAGAAATTAGTTTGGACATGACATTTCTTGTAATTTGCTCAAAGTGGCTTCGTGTCTAAAGCAGTTGAGAGGAAGATTTCAGCTTACATTTCTTTGTCTTATTCAATCCAGGAAAAATATCATATTCTTCTTTTCTATTTTTCTTAAGAATATAGAACTACGAAAAAGGTTTAGAATTTTCGGTACTCGCGTGAGTCCCCAAAAATTAATTTTATTTGTACTGTCAAAATTTTCTTTCAAGCGGTCAAAATTTAATTTGATTTAATTTAACATAATTTATATAGCGCTAACTCCACTAATTGACCAAAGCGCTTTACAATTCATAATATTAAAATAATTAAAAAGATCCCACTGGTAATAAAATATGAATAAATTAAAAACCTATTTTCAGACTTATTTATAAAAATATCACAGTAAATCCTATTCCAAATTATCAAAAAGTTAAACATTATATGCTTTCTTAAAAAGATCAGTCTCTAAGTATTTCTTGAATAAATTAAGCGTATCTAAACTTCTAAGATCTAATGGCAGATCGTTCCAGAGTTTAGGTGCAGCAACGGAAAAGGCCCTGTCTCCGTATGTCTGAAGTCTCGACTTCGGAACTGCCAGAAATTTTTGATCAGTAGAGCGTAGCGTACGTGAACATGTACAATAACTAAGTAATTCCGTGATATACAATGGTGCCATACCATTTAGGGCCTTATAAACTAACAATAAAACTTTAAAAAGAATCCGAAAATGAACAAAAAATCGAGGTCAATGTCAAGTCTATAAATCAATTGTGAAGCTCTTTCCGAAAAAACTATCTATCATTACAATGATCCTAATGTCCACCCATAGCATAGGATATTTGAATCCATTTATGGCAAAGAAATTACAAAATTCTTTTGAGTATTCAAATTTTTCCCAAACATCCTGCGTGGCTAATGAAAATGCAAGAAATGACAGCTGTCAATCACGGGAGATCGGTTACGGTAAAGTTGTATGCGCCAGCCTGAAGTATCTGATTTACTGGTAGTGTAAATTTTCATTCTCCTTTCTACTGATTTCGATTTCACACATTACCATTTTGCCTTCTTCTTCTGTACTGTTGGGCGATAAACTACAAAACGCTAAACTACAGCCTAACATATTACATATTTTTTCTTTCATCGTCACGGTACTAAAAAAAATTCACCTTGGTATCTTTTGAGCTTTCATTCAAAATTTAAATTCAAAGAGAGAAAAATCACTAAAACATATGAATTACCAGATTAACCAGCCTCTTTAGAAGAGTAAAACTTTTACGTTTTACGTTTAAATTTTGCATTCGTGATTTGAACTCAGACCATCACTGGAGTAATTCCACGACCAGACTTGAGTTTCCGAAAATACTTTTCCCGTTACGAGGTGTTGCGCGGACGGTGTTGACTGTTTTATGATATTGAATGGAAAAAGAAGTCCTTCCCCTGTGTACGTGTCCTTGGCGATTTATTTGACATGATATTCTTGCAATGTTTAACGAACAGTTGGGACAAAAAGATTTGCTTATTCTGATTAGGAGATGCATCGGCGTCGCGTCACTTCATTCGTAAGATTCAACGGCATAGCGCATGAGGCATGCGATGACTACATGTACCTGGCATATTAACTTGTATTTACGCGGGATTCAGTATATCAGTTGTTCCATTTTATAGCCATAAACGGTATATTTAGGCTCGAAATCTAAACTAAATCTCGTTGTCACTCAGGACCCTTTGATTTCAAATAGACCTTCGAGATACCGTAGTGCTAAAATGTTGTCTGAGTTTTGTTTGCAAAGACCGGTTAGAACAAGCGCGACCTTTTACATAAGAAACACTCAATTTAAGATTACCTGACAAACTTGGAAGCCCGAGCATGATGCATACAAGAGTCAAAGGATGGGACATTATTTTTTCGTCCCCAGCGTAAAAAGTGAAGCACTGATAGTTAAAAGAATGTAAACAAACTGCCCGGCCACGTGCTGCTCTCAAACTTCTCGAAACGTTACCACGAAATGTGACGTCATTCTTTTAGGATATGTACAAGAAACTATTTTGCTCTTCTGTGCAAGATGAATCACGCTGAAAAAAGCTATCTTTGTTGTCGCAGATTAATTGTGCAATAGCACAGAAAGTTGCACAAATCATTACAGCCTGGGACTCTTCATTTTCCTACCAAATTAGTCCATGAGATGACATTTTCTTGCATTTTTGATTGCGGGGTATCAGTTTTTCTTTGTGAATACAGAATGGTTTCAGAAAAGATATTATGAGTTAAGGGGGATTAGTTTCCAAGAGACTGTGGTGGCGGTTTTTTACAAGATAATTTGGTTTTATCAAATAAGTTGATAATGTAAACTGTCCACCGTAAAGAGTTTCAAAAGCTGACGTTTCGACCGTTAATCTTTCGTTGGACAAAGGGCTAACAAAGGGCTAACAAAGGGCTAACAAAGGGCTAACGAAGGGCTAACGAAGGGCTAATAATTAAGGGCTAACAAAGGGCTAATAATTAAGGGCTAACGAAGGGCTAACGAGGGGCTGACGCTCAAAACTTCACCTTTAGAAACCCCTCACAGTGGTCAATTCGCATCATCGACTCATTTGATAAAACCTAATTATAATGTTATGAGTTTATGTTTTTCTTGTTCTGGAACAGCTCTAGAAATCACATGAAACGTTTTTGAATGACGCAATCTAAACGGAAGCGCTAAGACCTTTTTTCTCATTGTTTTGCATTAGAGGAAATCAGAATTCGAAATCATATTGCTTCTCCTTTCCCGTTTTCAATAAGTTTCCACGCTCGAGAGCGATTTCTTTAAAGCGTTTATGACGACCGTTTTCATTTGACGTCTGTAAACACTAGAAAATGTCCGGTTTTGGATAATGAGACGATAAGGAGTCATAATAATCCTAATCAAAAACAGAGGCAAGAAAAAAAATTGGAAACATTACCCTTCAATTCACTAGAATTACCAGTTCTCTTCTTTACACCCTTTTCTTCTTGATTACATCCTTCCGGCCACACCATAAACGGGCCCAAAGATACTTCTGTATTTATGTGGTGTGGACAGTACTGTGTTTGCGTCAGACAATTAAAGTGCGCCATCCTGGGCACTTCTCCTCTTTGACACGTGGTCATTAAACAATGGAGGTATAGAAAATCCTTCGCAGATGCATTGAAATGGTCAAAACTAAATCGGAATCGTACGGCCTTGTTGTGCGTTGGGAGATAATCAAACTCTAAACCTAACGGACAACTGAAAAAAAAAATTCCGGAAACTCTATCAATCAATCAATCAATCAATCAGCCAAGCAATCGATCAATCTACCAATCAATCAATCTAAGTACTCATCAATCTGTCAGTCAATTAATTTATTTGTCAATGAATTATTCCATCAGCCAGTCAGTCGGTTGAGCGATGGATCGAGCAAGTTTTTCTCGGTGATGATGATGATGATGACTTTATTTAAACTCGGATGAAAATGAGGCTTGTTAGGCTTCTAGCAAAAGAGATGCTAATATACCGAGAAAAATGTATGAATATAAATTACAGAGTTTAAAAATAATATATTTAACTGATTAATTCATTGCGAACACTACGGTAGGTATTCAGTTACTTAATACTCACCTGTCTTCCAGTAATGTATAGCTTTCCGAGGAAAGGTGATCAGTGAAGTGTTTGGAGCCACTCAACTGGCATTTTTCGGGAATCACCACACGGTCTACCTGGGTAGCTAAAAAGAGGAATAAAATAAATAAAATAAAATACCTACGTAAATCTTTTAGTCGATTTAGACTGAAGACCAATACATATGCGTTATTACCCAAGCGTGAGGTCAAGATGGCTGGATATTGGCCGTTATTTTTTTGCATTTTCCATAAAAATGCGAAAAAAGAACGAGGCTAACATCTAGTCATCTTCACCGAACAAGCTTGGTTAATAAACGATTTATTATATTGCAAAAAGGTTTCGCTTTCAGCTAATAATTAAGAATGACCTGCTTTACTATTTCGAGAGCCGAGAAAGAAAGCCAACTCTGTGTTTGTAGCACAACAAACACTCTAGAGTCGTTTCTATATTCTTTGTTTTGACTACCTTCTGCCAATTTTTGCGTTTTCATCACCGAAATTGTCCAAGAATTACGAATTTAGTTCTAATTCTTTTTTTTTTTTTTCATGCGCGGGATCAATGCGGGCAATCTCGAACGGGCAAGGTGGGGTCATCTTGCCCGCGCGGGTGGCCAATCAGAACACAGGATTCGTTCCATCTTGCCCACCGGCGCTGCGAGCGATGTAATGATATTTACTATCGATGAACAAAGAGGAACAGCAAATCACTGCTTCATTCGATCAGAGTGTGTTAGGCTAGGTTAAAATATCCTGCGCACGTGGCAATGAGAGGGACAAAGCAGAGGTTATGATCTGGGAAAAACGGAGCTCAGGTTAAGTTTTGAGTAACAGTAGTACAAATAAACCGAGGACAGTGAGATATATTGTCATCAGTGTTTGTTTAGGTTTCTCCTGAAAACTTTCTCAGTTATGCTGCTGCAGGTCATCTAGATTGAAATTACCACGACTCGTCGCTTTTCACCGTTTGGATCGATACTTAAATTACAAACAACTTTCCCCTTACCTATAGCTTCTACGTAAACATAGCCGCACATTCCTAAAGGAATTGGGAACTTGGGGTACTCTTGAGAAAAACAGCTACTGTCAAAGAGTTTGACTTGCACTTCATCTTGACCTATTTCATTTGAATGAATGTTGCCTTCAGAAGAAAAATGTAAAAATTAAAATGACCATAAGCGCAAGAAAGTAGAAGGATTTCCTGGAGACTGCTACAGACTCTTTTTTCAATGTCTATTCTCAGGCCAAAATAAATTTCTTTATTAAGTGCTTGCAAAGAAACGCAATGGCGTTGGGCGCGGGCGATCATGGGAGGACGAAGGATGGAAAATCCTACTTTTCCTTGTCTCTTCTCCTCCTCAACCTATCACGCTGAACCTGCATTCAGAAAAAAGGCTGGTTGAAAAAACTATCCTGGAAAAGCTAAGGGTAAATAAGTTTATCTTCAATAACCATTTGCTAGTCCCATCACTTCATCTTGTTTGAGTTCTTCTGGTAAAACCACAAATGGACCCACTGACACTTGGATTTCTTCTCTCCGGTGGGGACAGTAGTGTGCTAGCGTCCTGCAGTTGGTTGCTGTCATTTTCGGTGGCTGCCTCCTCTGGCATGCGGTAACCTTGCAGTGAATGAACAGGAACTGTTCTGCAATCCCAAAGTACTGCCGTATGGGGAATTTGAATCTTATGGCCTGGCTTACTGCATTTGATTCAAGGTAGTTAAGTTCATACTTATCTGGGCAACTAAAACACAAGATAAAACAATTAGTGTTTGCTTTTCATGGCCCAGTCCCACAAACCGCCACAGTGAAATATTGCCTTTTCACTTCGTTGGCCGACTGTGACAACCCATGCATAGAAAAGACCGTGTTAACTGAAATAAATTAGAAAACGGAGGAAAAACATTCAAGAAAACAGGATGTTAGTAGGTGCAATGCTCGTGAAAAACCAGTGTCGAATATAATGTTGTTACACCATTGACTGCTTCAGGAAAACACTTAAAAAACACTGGGACAACTGACGCTGGATGACCGATGTCAAATTTTTGAGACAAACGGACTGTACAGAGGTGTCTTTCAGGCAACATCAACATCATGTTTTTCTGGTATTTGCCCATAGTGAAGACCGACTATGTCCTGGCAATAGGAAAACGAATTTTATACAAGACACTTTCCTGACATTCATCGTTTGGTAAAATTTTAGGTGGGTAGGGGATTTTTTGGCGTTTAATGATGTGACTTGGTCCTAGAGTAACAGAATATTATTAGGTGGAATTATCTATTCCAACATCAATTCTTCAGAAGAAAAGGGGGGTTGACTCTTTCCATCCGTAAAGCTATTCGCTTCTCCCAGTAAAGTCGGTTCAGTACTTTTTCCCCAGCCATGCGCAGTCACCTCACTTACTAATCCTTGATGAGTTCGTATTCCAGCACAGGATTGTGGTTATAGTTCTTAAATGCACTCACATGACATTCTTTTGGAATAGCTATTTGGCCCTTTTCCGTAACTGAAAATTAAAGTTGAAAGAGGATCTTAGAAGCCGATTTGCTAATCCTGTTTCACAGCTACGAGTGACGAAAAACTGACATCGCCTTAAACACGAAGGCCCGCTATAAAAGGAGAGGTCCCTTATGTGCCTGGTAGACGAACAAAAGAAGCTAATGAGATGTTTACTTNGCCCCTTCAGTGTAGTAAACACTGGTATCAACGGGGGTCCTGTTACCCACCCATCCCACCCCAGGGGAGGACATCCATCACACAGTAATCTCGGCGTGCGTGGGAAATTAACGTCTCCTGCCCAAAACCCTGCAGGAGACGGGACCTCCATTTATTCGTCCCTATCCGAGAAGACTAGAATATCTAATCATTTCTTGATGTTATAGAAAGGTAGCATATTCTTCTCAATTATTTTAAGACCCTGAATATTGGTCCGGCCGGGGCAGTTCAGTATTTGTTGATAACAATCTTAATTGCTCTCTTCCGATCCTTTTTTCTGCTTTTGTTTATTACCACAAACAGTGAAAAAGAAATGTATTATATACCTTCATACCTTCCACCTCGACGAAAACATTTGAGTTCACATCCAAATGAATGGGGAATCTGATGTATTTAAACGTCTTGGTGAAGGAGTCGCTTGAAAATACTCCAACTTGAACTTGAATTTTTCCCTGGGTTGTGTTATTTGCTCCTAAAAGAGATTAAGAGAGAAAAGAGAGTAGAAAATCTCCTGAAAAGGAAGGGTAATAGTTTTTTGGGTCAAGCCATACTGATATTACTGTTAATACCATTGCTCTCGTTATGATAGCTGCGTTTAAGGATGAAGTCTATGACAAAAGCAAATGGCAAAGATGTACTTTCATTTTACTTAGTTTTCTTATAATTCTTAATTAAACCCTGTAGAAAAATTCGAAAAGATCTCTTGTTGGCAGTCAATGGTACCCGATTCAAATCATGTGTTTCAACTTTCATGTAACTGAATGGCTGAAAAAAAAAAAAAAAAAGAAAAGAAAAAATGTTCAACTTTTGCCGTTTTCCATTAGAGGGCCCTTAGATACGTGTTTAATGACTTTTCCAACGGATATGATAGTCTATGTTATAAGATTGGTTATTACTCATTAAGTTGTAGACGGAAACAAGATGTGCTTTTAATAATTTTTAAAGCCCTCTATAACAATATGCCTCAGTATATTCAATCTTTATTTCAAGTAAGAGAAAATAAGAAAAATCTTAGGGGCAAAAACAAACTTGTTTTACCTGAAGCTAAGACCACAACTTACGGCCTTAAATCGACTTACTACATTGCTGCTAAGGCTTGGAATGCTTTACCTGATAAGCTAAGATTAATGGCCGGATTTGGCCCTTTCAGGAACGAGATAAGAAAACTAAGTAATTTGTAATTTTATATAATTATTTATATTTAGGCTTATATTATTTTTAAACTCTGTAATTTATATTCATATATTTTTCCTCGGTATATTAGCATCTCTTTTGCTAGAGGCCTAACAATCCTCATTTTCATCCGAGTTAAAATAAAGTCATCATCATCATTAACCATCCATTAACCCCTCCGTGGTTAACTTTCTTAAAATCACTGCTTAATAAGGTGGTAAAATTTAGCCTTGGGTACGTGATGATTCTGTGGAAGGCTGCCAAGGGGGCGAAGGAATTTCTATTACGAATTGTTCCCGACTTCACTTATTTTAGTCTATCTGTCAGTTCTTCGGGGTAATTTCATAATAATGGATAGCGGCACACTAAAACCCCACCTTGATTACTTATCGTCCCAGCTGATGAGTTCTGACCTCTTGCCAAACGGTCCTTTCTCGGAACTTTTTTCAAAGGAACGAATGTATACCAAAATATGTAACATGTACCTCAACCCAACCTCGTCCTTTGTAGCTCAACTTGAGAGGAAGCTCAACCCAACGCAATTTTAAAAACCGAAGAGCTTTTGAAAAAGAGTTAAATGGCCGCTCTGATCTACTTCCTTTAAACTATAGTAGAATCTAAAACCACATTATGGTTCGAACTCGAGACCTGGCCGCTGGCAGTAAAAGACCACATACGTTTGCACTACTTTGCAGAGCACCAAATATTTCTTGCTCTGAGCACGCAACTGCATGAAGGAAAAGCATCAATGGCAATCTTGCAACCTCGCAATCTCGCAAGTTTGCCGGTCAATGCATTGACACAGAGGAAGAAATCATATCATCATTCTTGTGGAACCCGATCTTTATCATTCACAGTTAGAATAAAATCTATCTACAATTAATATAGGACACAGGGATTTATGGTGTGGAGATCTGTGGTGCGACAAATTGCGACACATGAGGCTTAATTTCGGAATGATTATCACATAGCTTCCTAGGAAGCCTCTTAGAAGTACAAATGATCAATCTTTATGAAGTTTGAGAACGTGTTGACCCGGGTCCTTGACGTAAATTTTAGGATGGGCTCCTAAAATTACGTAATTAAAAAAACCCCGTTCTTTACGTAGCCTACTGTCTTTATATCACTTACTGGTTGTTGGAGTCAGATTCGATTGATTGCACTTAACTCCAGTCGGCCACGCCACAAAGAGACCCACCGTCACGTGACTGTCCTTTCGTTGAGGACAATGTAACGTTAGTGTTCCACAATTGAATCTATTTGGCTTGGGCACCTGTAGCATCCAACAAGTTGTTATTTTGCAGTGAAGGTAGATGAGTTGTTCCTTCGGGCCAAAGAACTGGACGTTGGAGAATTTGAATCGTACTGACTTGTTGCTTGTCGGTAAGTACTCACAGTGAAAAGCTCGCGGGCAACTGAAAATTGATAGAACCATTAAGGTGTCCGTTGCACAATCCTTTGAATATCAATTCATGTTAAATTAGGCTTTTTTCCCTCCTTGGCTACGTTCTTGTCTTCCCGTCAAAGTAGTTTTGCAGGGGATTTATGGCACCTTTCAAAAGTTCATAATTCTTAGCGAAATATTAGGGAGGAAAGGATGCAAGACTGCTCAACTCTTTTAAAAGATATCTTTAATTGCTTATTAAAAGTTTTGAGTCACCAAAGACCTCCAGTGTTCAGAAAAATGTTATGATTCATCATTGTGTGAACCCTGCATGACAATCATTGTTTTGCTGGTATTGTGTTTTGGTAAGTGAAATTCACATTGTGCTTTATCATATCTCTTTTTCTAAACCTGTTCCAGGCATTTCTCCAGTAAACAGGTTAAAGGCTCGCGATTGTTACCCTGATCGAAAAATGCCGGGTGGTGGGAAGTTTGTGGGATGGCTCTCATAAAAATTCTTGTCAAACCTCCTTTCTACGCTTTAGATTTGCACCATAATCGGAAACCCGTTCAGTGACTGCCTGATTGTCTCAGAACAGACAACATTTGTCTTCTTTCTTAGTATCTCCAATTACTCTACTCACTGATCGCTAATGAGTTGATATCCCTGTGTGGAGCAATGGTCGGGCTTCTTGTTGGCACTGACGTAACAATCTTCAGGAATAACAACACGATCATCATCGATAGCTAGAGCGAAAATTTAGAGATAGTAAAGTTCAGAACAATCCTCTTAGTCGCTCATCTTACTTCAAAGATACACTCGAAAAGAAAAAATTGTGGTAATTCCAATCATTGGGGTAGCACGAGCCATTTGCGCTTTAGTACCTTCTACCTCGACGAAAATAATCTCATTCTCCTCCAGACGAGTCGGGAATCCGGGGTACTTCACAGTAAAACAGGGGTCGCGAAATATCCTCACTTGAACTTTCTCTTTAGGTTTCTCATCGGCGCAAATTAAAACCCCTGAAGAAGATGAAGATAAGAGTTTAACTGTGTTGCGTCTTCGAGAATGTAGGGCTGTCGTCACTAGTTTTCAGGCCGTTTTACTAGACATTTTATTGAGCTACCTCGTCCACAGAGCATCTCACTTTTCAAATGACGTCAATTACCGGCTGTTAGTTAGAAAACCGCGGTGCCCCTGGTGACGAGACTGTTGTTGAAGAAGCTGTTAAAAAAAGCATCTTGTTACATAAAATAGTTATGCCTGTGATGGGTGATGAAGCTGATGGAAAAGTACCTTTCTACCTGTCTTGAATACACGTGAATGGTTATGCAACAACGAATAAATTATATAACGAGAAGAACTGCTGTATGCAATTGCAATTTCAAGTGCCTCAGATTTTTCGCTTAAACAATATATATAGACTTCAAAATTCATATGGAATTATAATTTTTTTAGTATCAATCGTGTTTACATACAAGAATGCGTGGTCAACTCAAGAAGCTATTCGTATCCGAAAAAACCTGAGACTGACGCTGGTAACTAACAAAGAAAACAACAAGGTAATAAGGTAAGTCCATTTTATTTCAAAACAAGACATTTTTTCTCTCTTTTAAGGCAAACCGATAACATCCCATACAAACCTTTATAAATATAAAAGGTTGCGCAACACTGTAAGAGTCACGTCCGCCTTTCTAGTAGTGAGCTTGGCCTGCCTGTGATGTAGCACGTGTTTTTAATGTTCTTACGCAATGTTCTCAAATGACGTTGAAAGGTCTTAGACTGAAGATCGAGGGAGTTGACATATCTGACCCCCCATACCTGGTAGATAAGCTTCAAGATGGGACTTAATGTTAGATAGCAATTTGTTTTCAAAATATTTTGCGTCCGTGTGAGAGCATTTGAATTGCCTTATAGGTCCAAACAGTTTTGTGTCTTGGTAATACATTTTCTTGTATTTTCGTCGAGATCTCCCTGTGGCTAAGATATTTGGGTGTGATTGAAGACTGCAATTCATCAAAGCACACCCGGCATAACTGTCAAGTCAAAATGCGTTGCTCTCAAATGTTTACGATAAATCCAAATAAAAAATAAATTCAAAATAATTGCTGCGGAAGTGAAACATAAACAAGCTGTCTTATCGCTTTAAATGGGGTGATGTAAGATGGAAGCCCATTCCTCACATTTCAAAATCATCGTTAATCCAGCTGCTTGATCAGTCAGTTGTACTTTCCCAAACGTACCCCACTAAGATTTTTTCAAGACTAGCCAAAACATGTCTGGAAGTTAAGTTAGTTCAAGTTTTATCTAGTTAGCATTTATGAGGAAAGTCCTGCTGTATTTTATCTATAACCGGAGAGGATAAATAGAAACAGTAAGAATGATTGTTGACAAGGTATGCAAATAGGGTCCTGTAGTTAAGTGCAGTTTAATCTTGAGGAATAATTTTCTGTGCCATCTAACGTGCTTGGGGTGTCCAGGTTTAGCCATTAATAATAATAATAATAATATAGATCGATTTCTATAGCGCATTTCCATGTAAATGCCCTAATGCGCTTCGTATACTCAGTACGTTATTGAAATCATTTGAAATAATTCGTATACTCAGCTGTGGCTCTTCCTTTTCATAAATATAAAGACCTCTGCTTCATGCCATTACCTCCCCACCCACTCACCCTATGATGAAATTTGTATGAGGGAGGGAGGTCTAAAGAAATGCTTAACTGAGTATAAAGGTCATTTCTCCCTCCATGCCCATCCTATAGTAGAGGGCATGGAGGGAAGAGAGAGAGGATGGGGGGGAGAGGAGGTAGGTTCTAGAAGTACGTTATTGAAATAATTTACCCATCTCTGATAAGTCAGTTAAACTAAGAAATTGCTTGACTTTGTTTTGGTTTTACTCGGGCCATTCGATTAATGCAATGTCAATCTCGGTCTCACATTCATTAGTATTCCAGCTTATTTCAGCATCTTATTTCCTGTCATTAGAGTCAATTTTCAGCTCTGTGAGAAATAAAATATCACTGAATCGAATAGTTTCCCGTGGGTCGAAAAAAAAAAACATGGAGGTCGAAAAAACAACTTCTAGTGGAGATTCTACACAGGATATGCTTCTCGATTTATTTTTTTCAACGGTGAATTTGGGAGCTTTCCAGCTGGCTGGTGTCTTTAGTATCTGTGTTCTCAAGTTGAATCTAAGCCAGAAAATGCCAAAAACTCTTTAATCTTTAGAGATAAATTCTTGCTTAGATAGAGAAAACAGCCATTGATTCCAGTAGGTGAACGTAGTTTTGTCTCAGATGATTGTTGAACGGTAGTTATGGTTTCGATAGGATTTTTGCATTGGGCAAAGGTGCAAAAACCGGAATTTCACCGACATGTTTCTTCAGTCTCCATCAGAAGAAAATCTGACTCTCTTACTTCAGGGGTAGCCCGGAAAAGGGACCATAAGGCGAAACCCAAACACGAGAGCCAGCTTGGAGGATGACTGCCATCTGGCAGTCATCACGGTCAGAATCACGATTTGTGAAAATCGTGATTCTGATAAAGGCTTGTAGAAGTGTAATGAGGTTGTGCTACAACATTTTATCCTGTCTTTTTTTTAATATCATAATTTGTTGTCGTTGAAAGAAGACATGCACGAGCACTATATGTCACCATGGTAACAGGGCTAGAGTTCAGAGTAAGATAAGTTATCTTCTATTAATATATTCGAGGAAAGCTTTGAACTGAAGTTTTTACTTTTCGATTATTAAAATACCAAACTTGAACAATTCCTCCTATAAAATATGCTTATTGATATCATCCTATCTTTAAACCACTGCTTGCATCCACAATTTTTCGTTGCCACTCTCATTCAGTGTCAATTTAATCTCACATACAACAGGATATGATTTCAGACAAAAAGGTGAATTGAATAGATTATCTTCGTTGCAAAAGCTGACCATGATTAGCTTAGACTGAGCTTTCATGAGCTTCTTCGATGGTGATATCTAATGAGCGGAAGCCACACTGTTCCCGCAATTAGTTTGCGACTAAATCGAATATAGCGGAACCGCTTTTGCAAGATAATTTGTTTCTTGTTTGAGCGAATCATAATTGATAGAAGTTGGTCTGAAAAATATCATTTTGGGTGAGGAAAATAGATAAGATCGAGTCATACGGCTTGAATACCGTTAGGATTGGAGGACACCCAAACGAATTTGATGCTCCTGATAAGGAGACCCTTTTCTCGCTTGCTAATACTCGAATCCACGTGCTTTCGAAGGGCATTTCAGGGTAAATAGCCCGATTATCTCAACTCCGACGTAGGCGCTCTTCAGCTAATTGTGATTTGGGTGCTACCACCCACAAAAGAGAGTACTGCTCAACTCAGATTTTAACAATTCTTTTTCTCACTCTACATGTGCCGGTTGTACATTCATCAGGTGCGGGTTTAAGTAACAGTTCAGCACCACTGACTTACCTGCAAAAATTAACAGCATAGATCTTGTGACGAAAAAAATTGCGAACGGCATCATCCCTCAAGTTGGTACAGATCTTCTTGTCTGAAACTTCTAAAGTTATGTGCCCGCAAACTACAAACGGTTTAATTTTTTATTTTCCAAAAATAGCTGAGAAATCTCGGTTAGCGATTGGCTAAGAGCTTTGATCTCTGAGACTCAGATCATCATGAGTTAGTCACATCATGACATGTGACTCCCACGTGCTTAATCGAGATCGTTTTAGAGTACTTCGAACATTTTTTTTTTTACTCAAAATATGCCACCGGAGATGTTTACTTTATCGTTCCTAGCCCAATTTGTCATAGGTAATAATAATAATAACAATCTTTATTTAACGTGGAGAAACACTCAGCTGAAAAAGCAGAAGCCCATCACTTGTGGGCTCTTGCTGAAAGCTAGTTTACAGGTTTTCCACCAAACAACTGAAACAAACAATTCGAATTGAAGATAGCATTATTAAGAATCCCATCTGGCCGAAGGCAAACCATTTGGCTATTTACAGGCATGGCCGAGGATTTGAACTCGGAGCTACTGTGAAACAAATCCAGGTAGTGGTCAAGATGGGACTCGAGAACCCGGGAGCGGCGGATTGCGAGTCCAACACGCTAACCACTCGGCCACACTGCCTTCTCAATCTGGTCAATCTGCTATCAAGAATTGTTATAGTTTGATTTTGCTTTAGATTTTTTTAATCACTTTTTAAGTTGGAAGGTATTTTAAGCAAACATTTCTCTTCCTTGGAGAAACCCCCTCCCCTCCCCTCTCTTGGAGCTTGCTACTCTCGGTTCGTATCCCTTTTTGTTTTCCTTTACGTTTCAAGATTTGATGGGTAACTTCCCCTTCTCAGTTCCTATGTTATATAATTTCATGTATTTTTCATGTACACGCTCAAGGGGATAAGGGTTAAACTTCTCATTACCTATTTCTTGCATGATGTAATACTTAGTACAACAAAGAGAAGTTATTTGTGAATCGCACAGCTAGCCCGGTTGGAGGACGAAAATGATAGAACATAAAAACCTGGAACTCTCCCACTCAATATGAATTTTTTTTGCGGTTTAGTTACGTGTGCTTTCTTTTAAAAGGTTGAAGAAGGTTTTCGGCCTCAATTTTTAGTGAAAACAAAAACAAAAACAAAAACAAAAAACAAACAAAGGAAAAAAAAAAAAAAAACTCAGAAGCTTAGCCAAGAGGATTTTTATGAAATTTGGTTTGAATCAATCTGTTCGAGAACTTTTCTCGAAAAAGACAACTTTTAATATCATTAGGTTTAAATCTGATACTGGAAAAAACACTTTACAGTACAGAGGCCCTGTAATCTGGAATTTTTTAAAATAGTCTAGTTAAAGTGCCTGAAAATTTTAATTCCTATAAGCAGATATTAAAGAAACATACCGGGGACATTACGGAGTATTCTTTTAGCAAGGAAGCGACGTTCTTTCACCGCAAAAAAAGATGATTCTATATACTTTTAAGCATTTTATTTTCTGCTATTATTTTATTATTTCAATTAGGCTCTTGTAAATCTCAGTTTATTGCAAGTATATATATTGTTTTCTCCCTGTGCATAGCTTTTATTCTTTTGTTAACATCTTTTGTGTTTGTCAAATTTTGATTGTGTATAGTAGGTCCACGTTAGCCCTTCGGCAGCCAATCAATCTCAACCTACTTATCTAATAAAGTTTACCTTACCTTACCTTACCTTTTCTTGCTTAGGAAAGTCATAGAAGCCCATATGGATGGCAAGTCTGCAGGAAAAAGGGCATTTAATTACAACGGTATATTCGTGAAAAACCCTTGATAAAGCCAAGGTATTGGATTATAAAATGAATCACAACAAAACACAAGCACCTTAGCCAGGTTGTTAAAAAGCGGCAGGCTTTAATCCAGGATTAAAAGTTTAAAGGAGATAGAAGGGTTAGACCTTTCCTGTTATCAAGTTCAATTTTTCCGTGTGAAAAGTTTTTCTTCAACCTATTGGGTTCAAATTGATATCAAGGAAAAGGAAGTAAACGAAACATCCTTCACTTCCGCTTCTGTATGAGCCTGCAATTTCCCGAGCAGCGCCTTGTGTGGAGAATGCGTAAACAAAGGCCGGGGACCGAAGCGGAAACGGAATTAGATCGGAACAACAGCTGAGAACGGCACGCTTACACTATGAGTGGGAGAATTAGCTTAGTCTCTTAAAAGTTGAGATAAATGTTTGCAAAACTCAAGCAGAAGATCGCCGAAGAGGAATCCACCTCAGACTCCAGCCGCTCTTTGCCTTCTAGTCCGAGCAGTCGACGAGCGAAAGTCAATAATGGATGGACGGAGAACAAATGGGAAACGCGAAGACTCATCAATGCGAGCTTGTACGAATCAAGGGAATCACTCCTTAGCGAAAGCAGTGCTGCTTCATCAGGGATCAATTTATGTAGACATGTTTCTTTCACGAGCAGATCAGCTTCGACTCCAGTTGGGACGCCTATCGAACCACCAAGTTTTTCGGTAAGTAGTAGTGATGATTTGCCCACTCGCGCTCTGTTTCTCGTTCCTTGTTTGCCTTTCCTCTCATGACTTTTTAATATCACGCATTGTTTCGCTGTGACCTTGACTACACTGTGTTCCAGAGCCAAAAGCGTTTCAGAATATCATTTGTTTTGGCCAAAAATGGTGATTTTGTAAATGAAGGAATACTTGCTTTTGAAATGAACTTGAAGCTTGATGCTCTTTTGCCCATACAACGTGAATTGTGGTTTAGTCACGGTGAATTAAATTTATGATACATATTCCACGTTGCCAACTTATTATCACTCTAAAGCTAAATATTGTGATGAAGAACTCCCTAATCGTTTCAAGGAATGTGTTAGCAGGGCGATTTAGCAACACGCTGAAGCTGTCCTTTTAAAAAAATGCGTTCTGTTGTTGATCTGATGTAAGTTAACACAAAATAATAGAGTTCATAAATAATGAATTACGAATGTTCGGTTAGAACTGATTCATTTTGATCGACTGTAGATAGATTCGAATTTGATTTAAAAAGTTTTATTGAGAGTTATAGTTTCGCAAAAGTCACCAAATTCCCTGTAAATGAAGGTTTTTATTTGCCTGACAGTTGTATCTACCCTCATTCTTGCTTCAGTGATTTTACGACTGTCTGTTCATGCTCTGTTGCACAATGTAGTGTTCCTAGGTACAGTGTTTATGGCTCAGGTTTTTTTTTTAAATCTGTTGTGGCTGATTGCATGTAAAAGCTTGACATGGCCTCCTATCTAGTCTGGCACAGATCTTATCAAGATGTTTTCCATCCCATTATTTCCTTATGCATACATGTAAGTCACACTGATCAATAAACCAATATTTACCTGTTTTTACAAGGAAAATAATAGTAATTTTATGCTTTCCTCCTCTAGCTTCATAGTGGTATACAAGGGCCCTTAAACACTCAGCTTATTGAGACCCTGTATTTCACTGAGAATCTCTGAATTTCCTAAGCCCCTTCTTTTTTTATTTAAATCTTGAAATTGAATCCTTTGTGAAAGTTCATTCAGATAGTCTCCAAATTTTATGCCTTAAACTAGCTACATGTAGTTTGAAATCTCTAGCAATGCATAAGAATGCTGATATACATGTACATGCAAATCACAGCTGTAACAGTGAACAGTGTATGAAGTGGAACCTCTCCACAATAGCCACCTTGGGGACAGAAGAAAGTGGCCGTAGTCGAGAGGTGGCCATTTTGGCGAGGTAGGGGTGTAATGTATGGACAGCCCAACTGGACCAAAATTAGTGGCCATTGCGGAAAGGTCGCCTTTATAGAGAGGTGGGAATTAGTGGAGGTTAGACTGTATTAACTAGAAAACAACATTTGGGGAAAGGGAGAATTAATGAGATTTTCATAGAGTGTATTATTTTAGATTATAGAATGTAGCTCCAACCATCAATAAGAGCAAGTTTTCTGGTTCCTGGTGGTGTCCATTTGGAGGTACTGCAACCTTGTGGAAATATAATGATTTTTTTTTTTTTGCTGCAGGTCAACTCTCGGTCATCAAAGGAAGAAATTCTTCATTTGCTGGCAAAGAAAGGAGATCAAGTCAGTAAACTGGAGGCAAAGATTGCAGGTGAAGAGATACTCCAAAATTCCTTTAAATGGAACTTCTCAAGTTGAACTTATCATCCAGTTTGTAGGTTTATTCAGTACTGTAGGTGATCACCATAAGTGTAAACAGCAAACATTATGGCTCTATGTTTGCTCAATCTACACTTGTTCATTGCCATTGCTGTTTTAAATTTTTTTCTAGATATGGCAAGTCTACTGAGAGAGCAAACCAGAGTTAAGGAGTCACTTGAATGTGCTCTTGAGAAGCAGAAGGAAGGTAATCACATGAGGATAAATTTTTGAATGTAAATGGATGCCATGTGTAACTGCATGTAGTATAGTCAAGTTGCGTTTAATGACTAAGGAAAATAACATAGACCAGATGTACCATCTTCATGAGCAGTGATCTTCAGAGTTTTCAGGACAAAAGTGTGAAATAACAGGACTTTCCGCACAAAAATAGCTCTAATCAAAGAAATTAAGCTGGAAAATGTGTGCTACAGCTGGAAATTCTTCAATCCCTGATGGCTGGCAGAACTACTAATGATGCTCAGCTTAATAGTACAAAAAGTGATTCTGATCTGTGGTAGGATGTCAGTTTGTTTAAGATGGTGATCTTAAGATCAGATCCTTTATTCTTCCTTGAAAGGGGTTTCTTTATTTCTTTCCTTGCTACATTTTGTGATTGTGATATATATCCTTTTTCTCTCTTGCACAATTTACTTCATATTTCCCTGGTCTTAATTTTCATTCCTTCATTCCTTTACCGTATCATGTGATTGATAGAAATTGTTTTGCTCTTTTTTTTTCCTTTTACTTGACATGTCTTACTAAAAATTATTTTGCACTAAATTGTGTCTTAATTTGCAAATGTCAACTTTGCCTTCTTCTAATACTTAATACTTGCTCAGTGATTGAGTGTTATCATTTGCAATTCACTCAGCTATGAAATAAATATATGTTGGACAACAATCAAGAAAGCAGAATCATTTACATATGGCCAGAAACTGAAGAAACCTCAGCTGCACATTTTGCTTGCTTGAAGAAAGTCTGATGACTGATTGACTGATGATATAACTAACTGTTAAGTCAACCTGTAACTGAAATGTGAACTATACTTTACAGAGCACTCTTCAAGATTATGAATCATGAATATGGAGTTTGAAGAGAAATCCAGGAAAATGAAAAGTGAATTTGGGAAGACACTAGATGAAAAAAATCAGGTATTATTTTAAACTTTCATATTAATTTACGGATCAATGTACATGTAATACAGTGTACTTGTAGATTTGACTGAAGTTGTTGATGCCACGATCTCTGTTTTATGCTTTCTAGATTTCATTTAAAATTATAAAATTTGAAAACAGTGGTTAAGAATTGCCAGAAAGTAACAGTGGTTGTTGTTGAATTCAAAGGATGGTGTTTTTTTTTTTATGCTAACTGTAGAACATAGTACAGAACATAATTTTGTCATGGTGTGCACAGTAGAGTCTAGTTGAATTAATCCTGTTCAATGAACAGGTTCTACATTTACTGCTGTACTCAGACACAGTGGTAAAGATTAAATCTCTAATGCAATTGTTTTGCAAAATGAGTAATTGATGCAAATCGTAGTTGTTGACAGTTGTAATAAAACTACTTTACATGTAATTTGGTTTTATCAACTAAGTTGAAATTGTAAATTGGCCACCATAAAGAGTTAAAAACTGAAGTTTCGAGCATTAGCCCTACATCAGAACCCTTTGCTTGAAATTTCAGCTTTTTAACTCTTCACGCTGGCTAATTTACAATTATGTCAACTCAGTTGATGTATAACCAAATTACCTTGTTACCCCCACTGAAGCAGCACCATAGTTTCTTTAGAAACCTACCCCCTTTATTCATTTTACTTTACATGCAGTTGCAGTAATTGTAGTCTAAAGACTAATTCCTTTTCTGTAAACAGATTATTTCATTGTGTTAGATTAAGAAACTATAGGGTGATGGTACTACAATTGTAGCAATGTTCATGCACATATACATGATCCTTGAAGTAGTATAAGTTAACTCACTTTTCTGGAAGTTGCAAAGTGCCATGATTGATTCTAAAATGACATAATTTATTAGTTTTAAATTTTAAATTTTCCAAGCTACTGTTAATCAAAGTATCAAATTATTAAAATGTTTGGAATTAAACTTTTAGGAACTTGAAAGTAAACTAAAGGAATTAACTTTGGTAAGGTTGGATTGTTGCTATAATTTTAAAATCTTTAAAAATCCAAATCAGTGTGGCCATTAGTGATAAAAATTATCATTTGTTTAAAGAATGTACCCACACTGATTTTAGAGGGCTTTCTTTTACATTATTTTGTAAAATAATTTTCATGGATTTACTGGCATGAATCAAGACAGGAATGTATCAACAGATTATTAAATTCAAACACATTTTTCTGCTAGAGTTTTTTTCAATTTACACTTTGGTATTACAAGGCACTGGCAAAATTAGATTCAATGAAAATAAATATTGCGTATTAAATAACTCACTTTTGATTTAGAATAACTTGAGATGAGTTAAAGTCTTAATACCAACTATTCTTCTTTGGTTAAAACATGAATTGGCTGCTTGAATATCAGCAATACAACTATGACACAGTATTAAAATGAAGTACATGGCAATTAGATTTTCAGAATTCGAAAATATCACCTCTAAGTTTATAAAACATTCTGGTGGTTTAGGAAAGCACACGTTATGCAGACTTGAATGAACTTAACCAACTTCAACAACAAGAACTCACCAAGATGAAGTCCTTGGTAGGTTTTGCACTTTGCAACTACCCCTAAACTTTAGCTGTACTACACTTTATTTGGATAGCATATATAATTACAGCCAAAGACTTAAGTCTCCTTTATGGCCCTATGAAAATTTAAATAACAATGACAGTTATAAAAATACCTATAATAATCAAATTAATTAAATAGCTAATAAAAATAATCTTTCTGTCAATTCTAAAGCTCTAAGGTGTGAATTTCTTTGTGCTAAATTCAAAGTAACTTCCTTTATATTTCTTCACAGTGGAAAAGCAGACTAAATCATAAAGTGTTGTTCCACTGTTTAACAGTATTACATCTATATTACTGCATGTTTTAAGTAGTAATTATGAATTCTAAAACTGTAGATGTCATTGATGACAAATTCAGCTTTAAAAAGATGTTTACAAGGTACATGTTAATATGGCTTGATTTCTGTGCTCAGGAAATTTCTTTGGAATTTCTTTTGATTACCAAATTAGAACTGAATTTTTGAAAATCATTCTTCATTGATTCAAGAGGCACGAAGACGAAGTCATTATTTCCTGTTTCAGTGATGCAACTTAACCAAAAATTAAAATTCTAAGGTGTGAAATAGAATCAGAATTATAACTGAATGAATAAGTACTCAAGTTAAAAAATTGATAAATGAACAAATACACTTATGAATAAAAAATAAGTAGATGATCAAAGTTATTAAGAATGGATTGGTAAAGGAAAAATATTCCAGTGAGCAAATGAGTGACTGAATGAATGTAATCGAATAGATTAATGGACAAAAAAAAAACAAAAAAAAAACAATCAGCGTACCCGTACTTGAATATTAAATAGAGATCCTATAGACCACTCTCATAAATGGCTGCCGGATTAATATTCTTTTGTTTAAATTTAAATTTGCCTGGGTGGCCTCGCTTGAGATAATGTATTCTTTTGAATTTTGTACTGGAGAACGAGGCCACCTAGGCAAATTTAAATTTAAACAAAAGAATATTAATCTAGCAGCCATTTATGAAAGTGGTCTATCATGCATCAACTTAGTAACCAAACACCTTTTTTATTTTTTATCATTGTTAGTCATGGTAAATGATTTAGCTTTTTAGGAAAAAAGGTTAATAGTTGAAGCCCAGTTCGCTTGTACTGATGGGAATTTTTTTGGAAATTACAAAACATGAGTCTTATTGTAAGCGTTTTTATCGTACCACGCTACGTACGTTTGTACTTTTAACAAGTGTAATGATAAACTTACTGTGCACAGGTGTAGATCAGACAGAAGCAAAATTGGTAAATTTTAAGAAACATCCACCGGCTGACAATGTAGTCAAAGTTCTTGAAAATATAGTAGTTTTGAACATTATTAATTTTTCATCAACAAAAAACTTAGCCAGCCTGAATTATAACATGTTTCAGCTTCAGTGATAAAATAAGGACTAACTTTACCGCTTAAAAAATCAGGTTTCATATCTGGAATCATTCGTGCCTTTTGTGCTCTAAGAGTAAAGACTTCAAAAATACATCTATCGGATCTTTCGCGCTAAATGGAGATCTATCTAATGTGAAACATCCGTAAAACTTACATACAGTTTATGATAAAGGTAATGGAATCCAGGTAATAGAATTCATAAAAATGACCCATTTTGTAAACTCTAAATAGTTTATCCAGTACCAAACCGATGCTACTCGCAAAGCTGCAGAAATATTTGAAAAAAGCAAGGTATGAACTTTTAAAGATTTTTCGATAACAGTGATTTACAACAAACAGCGTTGTTCTAACTTAAAGTGAATGGACGAAGTGAATTAAATATATTTGAAGTCAGTAATTTCTTTCCTGAGCTTTCACACATTAACGTTTTGAAATGAGTAATAAATGCAAGTTATTTGGTCAATTAAAACTAAGTGCATTTTTACTAGAGATGGAACCCCCTGTGATCTATTCTAGATCCTTCAGTTTATTTTATACTGATATCTTTTAGATTAGGAAATTAAATGATAATAAAAGTAAAACAATGGTTTTCTTCAACTCTAGAAAATCATCGGCCTGTGTTTTGGTTTTTTCTGCAGCAAATAGAGGACTTAGACAAATCTTACCTTGAACAAAAAGGAGAATTGGCTTCTCTTCAGGAGCGTTTAGATGACTTGGCTCGTGAAAGGTTTGTGTTCATATACAGTAATGATTGTTTCTTATGTCGGTGTACTACATGAACAATCAATTCCATGCCAAAGGAAATACACCCAACCAGATAGCAGGAAAATGTTATATATTCGACAGCTTAATATCCCAGCAGGCATTGCGATCTTTTACCCACCGAAATTTTGTAGGTAGTGTACACACTTTCGATAAAACTCACATGTATACGGAGAAAATACAATTTACTCGAGAGATATTTCATAGTGCACCACTCGAAAGCGTTACATTATAAATACATGATTCATCTTTACTATCCTTGATCATCCGTTTAAATTATTGCATCGTATAGAGGATGCTTGGGAAGACAAACTTTGTGTTTGACTGCTCCGTCAAAGATGTGCGTTGCCTTTTGTTTTTGACTGCGAGGTCAGCGATGCGCGCTTTGTTTGTTTTTGTCTGCTATATCAGTGCTATGCACTGTCGCAGTTTGTTTTTGACTGTTACGTCAGAGATGCGCGCTCAGTTTGTTTTTGTTTGCTACATCAATGCTATGCACTGTCGCAATTTGTTTTTGACTGTTACGTCAGAGATGCGCGCTCAGTTTGTTTTTGACTGTTGCGTCAGTGATTTGCGCTCCCTTTGGTTTGTTTTTTACTTTCTTTGGTTCCTTACTATTGCTTGACGCAAGAAACTGTTATTTTCCTTTATAATGTTGCCACTCACTTAAACCAGAAAGCTAGTTTTTGACCTCGTCTGAGGTGCTTCTTTTTATTTTGGTAGGACAAAGTTCGAGTCCCGTGACAAACAACAGCAGGCACGAATAACAAGTCTCGAAAAAGAAAAGACTTCTCTTTGCGACGAGGTTAAAAGCACTGTGAATGAATTAACACAGGTAGGAACGTTGTTGAAACTTTGCATGTACGCCCAGTTTTTTCATGAAGGGAGTTGGGCCATGTCTTAAGACGCGAGACCATGGCTTGGCTTTAACGAATTACTGTGTCCCAAAAAGTGTAACAAATCCGGAGGGCTTCAAATGCAATGACCCCCCCCTACCATTTTATAACATAACCAAAGTAAAGCGCGCGCTCTGATTGGTCAATTTGTTAAATGGTATACTACACTGTCCTGAAGGTCATAAACGATGTAGGTTGTAATAGAAAATTTGAATGATTTTATATTTGAACGTTTCTTAATTCAGTTGTGCTTTATATTTTGCTTTTGTTTCTTTGCTGTGGTTAGTCTCAAGCTGTAGATTAAGGCAGCCGTCATAAGTCACAGAGTAATGGTAATGGGAGCGATTATCTGGGATTGTCGTGGTTTTTCTTCATCAAGCTCTATGATTGGTTCATAAAACTCACGCCGTCCTTTCAACCAATCAGATACAGAACCTAAAACCATTCGCAACTTAGCTGCGTTTTAACCTTTGTTTTTTCCAGCCATGGTGACTACATATAATTTGGTTTTGGTTTGACAATACCTAATCGATTTCTAATTGGATTCAGTTGAACAACTAGGGCCAAGTTCCGTTTTTACAACTACTTCCGACATGCCATCACTAGCGAGAAGAGAACCAAATCGAATGTCAAATGTCAAATGAGTAACCAAGGGTAAACATTAGACTCACCTCACAACGTACATAGTGCACTGTTATGCTCGACTTATTAAAATAGATTAATTTCCTCAGAAATCAGTACAGCTCGATAGAGCGGAAAAGTCCCTCCGTCTTCAAGAAGAGGAACTGGTTAACTTGAGGCAGACGCACGCTTTGTATAAAAATAAGGTACGATGAGCTACAAAAATTGTTTCCAAAGCACACGGTAAAAGTCTGGCTTGAACAACGTCTGCGGTGTTTTTGTTTTCATCTGAGAGCCTTGTTCCTTTTTGCATAACCATAGGTCTCAATGGAACTGGAGCAAAACGAAGGAGAAATTGCTCAGTTGAAAGAAAGAGTTGGCGATCTTCAACAAAGGTGAGAGTGAATTAATATCCGCTGCTTTGCTGTAGAGTTATTGAATTTGCTTTGATTCGAACAAGAATCGAACACCTTAGACAAGGCCGTTTCTCCGATAATTTTTTGCACCTTCAGTATCTAACCGATTTGTCTTTTTGTGCACAAATACACATAACACGCACATGTGCATGTAAATCGACAAATAGCTGTAAGTCTTCCAAAAAAAAAAAAACGGATTTATCTAATTCTCGAACCAATTCTAAATGTAACCCGGTAGACAATGTATAGTAAGTTTTGCCTGCTGCATGGTTTTAGCGATACTTCCAACTAGATGTTGTTGCTGTGTACAGTATCCTTTCCACTTGCGTCTCTCCCTTTTGATCAGTTTTTGTCCCTTGTTGTAGAGTTGACGATAGCAAACTTTCGGGAAATGACCAGGTTCAAGCTATGGAAAAAGAGGTACATGTAGGTTTAGATAGTGCTAACTGTGACCGTACTAGTAATTATGGGAACTTCTTATTTTTTTTCTTCAGAGTTTAATCTGGTATATTAATATGTTGATTTCAACCTTAATTACAGAGAGAGCAGCTTGAGAATCGGCTCCGTGAAACTCGTGATCAACTCAATGAATTGAGGGCGAATTCAAACGATCGAACAAACACTCTGGGATCTCTGGTAATAATTATTTTGTCGTTGTTTACATGTACATCAACATAGTTTTTTTGTTCTCTCGAAAAACAGAATTTCGTCAAGGAATTTCCTTCCTAATGATTAAAAGAGTTCTTCAACCTAAAACTCCCAAATTCTCCCTTCGCCTTTCGAATATACCGTGCATTTGTACAGTCGAGAACAAAGACCGTGATATTTTTTTTAATTATCACTTGGCAGTTCCGATATTAAGGAGTTCAGTAACTCCTTATTGTTGGAACTGCCAAGTATAATACAAAGTGTAGTTAATTTGATTTACAGTATGGAAGAGAAAAACAATCAAGTTTTACAAATCAGCAGGGGGACCATAATATAAGTACTGAGATTGGAAGTGTGAAAGAATTGGAATTTTATTCTTTTTATTTACTTGTACTCTCTAGGTTAGCACTCTAAATGAAAGATTCGAAAGAAAGGAATCAGAACTCACCGAATGCAAACGAAAGTACGACCAGGATTACGAAAGCTGGAAAAGTAAAGTATGTTCTAACTGGTGCTGTTTCATTTGTTATTTAGATATTGGTTTTCATTAACGTTCTAATAAACAGGACAAACTAATTGTGTTGACTAGATGACAGTTTCATCAAGTTCACGGCCACGAGCTAAATGGGTGATTCCAGCCAGCGGTTAATCTCAAGACTACATTCTTACGTGTAACGTTGCAAGTTTGTGAGAGATCGCATTCTTGTGTTTACCTGCATTTTGATTTCATCCTTTCCTCAGCAGACTTGAGCCTTTTCGTTGCGGTTCTTTTCAAGCGTTGTCCCACCCTACCCCTTCCTCCACCATTTTCCTTCTAGGGATCTATCCAGTTTTGACGGATGCTTGGAATCGAGCCTCATGGTTGGGTTGTAGTTATTTTTTCGGGTCTCGGGCAGTGTACTATCCAGGGGCTGTCTTTACTCAGTGAAAGATCCTGGATACCGAAAGCTTACCTTCAATTTCAGCGTGACAGCCGCTGATGTAGAGTTTATAAATTAAAAAACAAAAGTTCCAGTAAACGACCGTGCTTGTTGCGGATCTTAGTAGAGTTAAGCTCCGAATAATTTGGTTGTATGTCAGTAGCTGTAGAGAAACTGCCAAAGAAGTTTTAAAATAACATTAATTATCACTGCAAAGCCATACACTCTGTGTCTAAATAATAGAATAGGTCGTCATGACGAGAAACTGAATTCGTTACTGATAGGATGACAACCCAATCAGTCGAACTGGGGTGTAGTGTTGGTCGACCCGTTACTTGTATTGTTCTCCGACGAACTTGGTTCAACCTCTAAAGCCCTTACTCGCATTTTTTTTTTAGGCATTAATTTTTTCAAATATTGTTTGCAGAACTTTCAACTTGAGCAGGAGTTGGCCGTATTACAGGAGGAATCGCTGTCAGGAAAGCGCTCCTCAGACAGGCAAACAGCGAACTTGGAAGGACAGGTACATGTTTATACTGCGCAGCTCTTTCGACCTCTTCTATTTCTTTGTACTGTCCATGCAGACATGTGGGTGTCTTGCATTTGCACAGTTAGATCAATTACAGCTTTCAAGAACCTTCCTATGTGCTTTATTGTAGGCAGTTGAGACAGCAGTTTTCCCGACGAATCGTAGAGTTCATTAAGACCAATGCAATCAAGGTTTATTTTACAACACTCAACGATTGAAAATTGTTCTATGCAGTGATAATTTCTCTCATCCTGCTACATGCTCCTTGTCTTCGTTATAAGGTGATGCGTTTGGAAGCTGCTCGGGAAAGAGAAAAAAGTGAAATGCAAACAAAGCTGGTAAGAGCAGGAATATTTGCCGTCAAAACAATTTTTTTCATCATGATTTTTGATCATCATATTACAATTGAGTTATGTACAGGTGCTGAAATAATAAGAGGGAGAAATCCAACCTCTTGTGAAACGTTATCAGAATATTTTCATGTAATTGCTTTCAAATAGGACCAGCTGAAAATGATCGAGAATGAGTATTCCAGACAGGAGGACTCATATAAGCAACAAATAGCTGACTTGGAGGAGGAAAAAGAGCAGCTACAGGTACGAATAGTACAATTATTTACTCCTGCCGTGATGCCCGAAACATACTTTATCTACTCCCTTTTGAGATGGAAAAAAAAAAAAAAATCAAAACATTTTCGAGAATTATTGGAAAGCGTACATAATCAAGTGGTGAAGTGTTTAAGTGTTGGATCTTGCTAAGACCACAGATATGGAGATCATAGTAATCGTGAACTAATTTCAGTGGATGGATCATGTCGCATGGGCGGGCTGTTAATGCTTTCTTCTATGGAGAACTTGCAGAGGGTTCAAGAAGAGCCGGTTACCCATTTCTAAGATTCAAAGACACTTTGATGGGGATCCTTAAGTGTTGTGTTTTGGTGTATATGTTCTTGAACACACTTTGATGGGGATCCTTAAGTGTTGTGTTTTGGTGTATATGTTCTTGAACACACTTTGATGGGGATCCTTAAGTGTTGTGTTTTGGTGTATATGTTCTTGAACACACTTTGATGGGGATCCTTAAGTGTTGTGTTTTGGTGTATATGTTCTTGAACACACTTTGATGGGGATCCTTAAGTGTTGTGTTTTGGTGTATATGTTCTTGAACACACTTTGATGGGGATCCTTAAGTGTTGTGTTTTGGTGTATATGTTCTTGAACACACTTTGATGGGGATCCTTAAGTGTTGTGTTTTGGTGTATATGTTCTTGAACACACTTTGATGGGGATCCTTAAGTGTTGTGTTTTGGTGTATATGTTCTTGAACACACTTTGATGGGGATCCTTNGAGGGAGAAATCCAACCTCTTGTGAAACGTTATCAGAATATTTTCATGTAATTGCTTTCAAATAGGACCAGCTGAAAATGATCGAGAATGAGTATTCCAGACAGGAGGACTCATATAAGCAACAAATAGCTGACTTGGAGGAGGAAAAAGAGCAGCTACAGGTACGAATAGTACAATTATTTACTCCTGCCGTGATGCCCGAAACATACTTTATCTAGTCCCTTTTGAGATGAAAAAAAAAAAGAAAAAAATCAAAACATTTTCGAGAATTATTGGAAAGCGTACATAATCAAGTGGTGAAGTGTTTAAGTGTTGGATCTTGCTAAGACCACAGATATGGAGATCATAGTAATCGTGAACTAATTTCAGTGGATGGATCATGTCGCATGGGCGGGCTTTTAACGCTTTCTTCTATGGAGAACTTGCAGAGGGTTCAAGAAGAGCCGGTTACCCATTTCTAAGATTCAAAGACACTTTGATGGGGATCCTTAAGTGTTGTGTTTTGGTGTATATGTTCTTGAACACACTTTGATGGGGATCCTTAAGTGTTGTGTTTTGGTGTATATGTTCTTGAACACACTTTGATGGGGATCCTTAAGTGTTGTGTTTTGGTGTATATGTTCTTGAACACACTTTGATGGGGATCCTTAAGTGTTGTGTTTTGGTGTATATGTTCTTGAACACACTTTGATGGGGATCCTTAAGTGTTGTGTTTTGGTGTATATGTTCTTGAACACACTTTGATGGGGATCCTTAAGTGTTGTGTTTTGGTGTATATGTTCTTGAACACACTTTGATGGGGATCCTTAAGTGTTGTGTTTTGGTGTATATGTTCTTGAACACACTTTGATGGGGATCCTTAAGTGTTGTGTTTTGGTGTATATGTTCTTGAACACACTTTGATGGGGATCCTTAAGTGTTGTGTTTTGGTGTATATGTTCTTGAACACACTTTGATGGGGATCCTTAAGTGTTGTGTTTTGGTGTATATGTTCTTGAACACACTTTGATGGGGATCCTTAAGTGTTGTGTTTTGGTGTATATGTTCTTGAACACACTTTGATGGGGATCCTTAAGTGTTGTGTTTTGGTGTATATGTTCTTGAACACACTTTGATGGGGATCCTTAAGTGTTGTGTTTTGGTGTATATCTTCTTGAACGTGGAGAGACGTCACAGGGAACTATCAGGTGTGGTGAAGGTCCACATCAGATGTCTTTTGCAAAAATTATGATGACAGCTTCTTGAGAAGTGTGGGAAAAAAAGTGACTCTAAGCTTTTAGAATTTATCTTGTATTTGTGCCATTTCCGCATTGGGTGAAGGGCATAGATATAGAACAGATTCATTTTCCAGGCAGCACAGTCAGACGTCTCGCCTATTTTGTAAAGAATCGATACAACATGAAGTGCATTAAGCCAATCGAGATTGATTTGTTTCTTTATAGAACGAACTTCAGTCCAAAGCAGAGGAGAACCGACAAGTTTCACTGTGCTTGGAGGACGCTATGAGAGAAACAAATGAGCTCAAAAGCCAGGTTAGCCAAATACTGTTCAGTGACAATGAGTGAAATCACAGCACAATGTACATTGCGTCCCTACTTGTACATACTAGTGTTGTGGTTGGAGGGAATCTAATAACGATTTGTTAAATGAATACTTTAAAATGGTTTCAGAGTTGAATTCTTTGAAATGGAAGGCACCACCAACTGTAAATAAATGCTTTTAAGCAAAAATTTAAAAATTAAATTTTTTGCAAAGCCACTAGACGAGCGCTAGAGTTTCAGATCTTTTTGTTCTGTTCAACGAGTAAATATAAACTTAAATAGTCGGGTCTTACCAAATCTAAAACTTTCTAAAGTTTCTTGTTCATATACAGTACATTTAGAGTTCTTGTTCATATACAGTGCTTTTAAGTACTTTTTAGTATTATCTTCAGTTAGTGATAATTAATGACCAAAGAAAATAAAATGAAATCTTTGGTAGCAGCTTTAGGATAAATTCAGTTATGAAATGCAAGTTTAAATGTACATGGAATTTAAACTGAATCTAGAGTTAAACTTCAAAGTCTTAAATAACTTAACTAATAATTATCTGTTTTAAGTTTCAATTAAATTAACACAAGAGCTTGAACGTAATTTACAATGCTTTCAGATTGCTAAATTCGAGGAGACACTAAAGGAGAAAAATAATCTGTTGACTTGCTTTAAAGAGAGTAAGGTAAGAAGGCAACGATGTTTAAACGAGGGAGTAGACCTGGAATGTTTTTTTTTTGTGCCAGTGTTACGGAACAAGGTGCATCACGACAGCAGATACTTCTACAATCCTTGTTTTGCTTCCAATTCTTAATTTCTATCCCTACCTCTGTTTATCATCAAGTTAAGCTTCCCAAAGAAAGTAACGTTACCCAAAAAAAAATTAGCCATCCTAACGGCAGATTCTTACCATTCTTTCTCTTGACTGATTGTGTTAATATACCTCGCGTAAAGCTTAACGTAGCTTTATCTGTTAGCGCTAATTTCTCTTTTTAAACCTTCACTAAGGACGCATATTTTACTTTAATATATTAGAAATTGTAACGAATATTTTTCTCAATTTTATTTCATCATTTGCCGCTTGTTGATGCGCAATTTATTTTTAGAAACTATTTAAACACTTGTCGTTATTAATTTAACGACCTCTGTGCATATTACTATTTTCACTCATTGTGTTATCCCTGCGGCGATTACAGCTTGATTCACCTTCCCATGTTGTGAGTAACCTCGGTCCTGAAGCACTCGAAAACCTCAAAGAGGAGCTGAAAATCACGCAGGTAGTACCTCGCTTCTTGTTACATTATTGTACAAAGGAGAGATGTGTGACGCGGAGACCTGCTGGTCAGCGGAGTGGACGCTAGGGCCCAGTTGTATAAAGGGCTGATAACGATATCCAACGGATAAATCGCTATCCTGCGGATAAGTGAGAGCAAAACGTATAGCATTATCCACCTGATAGAGTTTCATCCGGTGGATAGCGTTATAGGACCTTCGAACAATCGAAACCAGGTAGATAAGTCTAGGATGAGACATTACAAGGGGGAAGATATTTTGCGGTCAACAACGCGGGCTCAAGTGTCCTAGGTCTATAAATTTAGCGAAATTAGCGGAAAATAATAAGGGCTGACCTTTAAAACCGAGGAACTCTGTTTTCGTCGAAGGCACTTTCCTATTTCCTATTTTTTAGGGGGTGTACCAGATTTTTGGNAGCAACAGAATAGGAAATCAACCATGCGAACGACTCAAAATTCGTGTTTCCGCGGCAAAACCTGGCGCATGCGTATACGTTATTCAGCTCGGTCCTCCGATAGTTATTTTCCTTAAGCCCATTTAAGCTCCTCCTCATTGGTGGTTTACGGGTGAACTGAATTTTTTGAGAAAATTGTGAGTAACCAGTAATGGAGTAGCGTCCTATTCAAGTGGGAGCACACTTTATCTAGTCGCTTTATGTATCACTGAAACAGTAATAACTTAGAGTACAATGAGGTACCCAGTTTTTGTTTACAATACAGCCTTACCTACAAACAGCAGTAATTGGGATACATAAACACGCTATAACGTACAGTTAGACAGGTCTCATCAAGGCAATTTCTGTATACACATGACTGTTAAATGCGAAACATATTAACTCTTCCGAATTTCAGAATTTGTTGAATTGTTAGCCGTTTTTTTTTTTCTCAAGGATCGTTACAAGAATGCAGAAGAAGTTTTAAAACAGAGGTACCATTTTGTTTATTTTTTTATATATTTTGATTAGCTCTTTTTTGTTCGCGATTGTTTGTTACACCAGTCTTAGGACAATTTTTAACTAGGTAGTTTTCATTCAATTTTGTCGTCATTCAATTGCAAATAATTCACAGGAGACTTTGGTTAGGTAGCCCGGATGAGTTAGTAGCATGATACTTTATCTTGATTGGCTTATTTCGATGTTTAGTCTTTAGCATCCAAATGTTAAGTGCTTAGTTTTCATTACAAACAGCAGTCATTGAGAAAACCGCTTTTAGCATCCTTCATATATATACATATATATATCGCCATTTTCGCTTGGTCTTTTTTTTGTCCTCAACAAAGGGAAAAGACTATCTCTGATCTACGGAAAATAGTCACTGAAAAGGAGGAGTTACTGAACCATTCAACCACTAAGGTAACAAAAGTGACCATCAAGGTTTGCGATTAAAAATTAGAAGGGGATGGTGGTCATTTACATCATTGGTGGCTTGTATGTCAACCTACAGATCTAGACTTTCTCCCCCAGGGAAACGTTTCTTGCAAACACTAGGTCAGCAACTGAGAAAATTTGCGTCAAATCAAGGAAACTGTTGCCAACTATGGAGAAACATGAACTCGAGCATTTGCAATTAATTATCTGCCATATCCAAAATAATATTTGTATCACAGCAATTTTCAATGGAGTATCGAGAGGAACCGGAATTTTTCTCTAGTTTTCTTTTTTTCGCTCAGTTATCCGGTCAGAAAACTAGCGCCATTCTTTTCCTCATGACTTGGCCCCTAGTGCCAGTCCCTCGCCTCAAGCAGTTTGCCTGTCTTTCTTTTTATTTCTCACTGGCCAGTGATAATGTCAACCTTCGCTCTGTTTGGCCGTTGTGATTATGTTATTTTTTTGTTTTCCGACATGTAATTAAAAACTGTTTAAACATATTGCCAGATCACTATCGTTGTTATTATTCCGCATCAGTTACGTCCCTCAAACGATAGTTTAAAATGTTATGGAGACCAAATCTAATTACCTATATTTTGTGGTTTCTCTTTAGTTGAGGCAATATGAAGAAAACAACAGATATATAGGAAATGATAGAACTTATAGTTCGGAAAGTAGAGGTGAGTGAGTAGATTGGTTGTCCTAGTGATTGGTTCTATGCCCATAGCTTTTGTTGTTGTTATTTGGTAGTTTTCATTTGTTCGGTTCAACTGAAATGTCCGCGTGTGCAGTGTATGCTTTGCTATACGGAGCTCAAGAGAAATCGAGCAAGAATTTGTCACTATTAGGGCTAGTGGTCCATCGTAACACGTATATGCATGCATACAGTGAAGGTAATTGAAAAATATGACAACCATTATAATTAGAGCAATTTTGAATTGTGTTAGAAGCAATTCGACATTACATTACATCTGTTTCATTTCGCTCTCTGATTGGTTTAGAAACTCGTGCCATTCTCCCAAACAGTCATATGCAGGACTAAACCTAATCATGATTTGATCACTTACCTGATCCTCTGATTTGTCTTTGTTTACTTTTGGTATTTTCCTCGGGCTAATTAACCGATTACTTTTGGTATTTTCCTCGGGCTAATTAACCGTCGTGATTACTTTGGTTTAGGTTCACGAGTTGAACTTTTGTTATAAGTACACTTGGTTATAGATACAACACCAACATCATCTTTTTTTTTATAGTCTTACTCCCGTTTGATTCTGAATTAATATGTATATTTGGAAATCATTATGACACTGTTTTTAATCACCTCTAAAGATTCACACAAGTTAATTACGAATTTAAGAGAAAGAGTTAAGGAACTGGAAGAGCAGCTTCAAGAAAGAGAGGTAGGCGGTCAGGATGAAGAGAACTTTAGACTTTTATCGAAAAGTCTGTTTTTTAGTGGTGTTTTTGCTTTGAGTAGCATATTCCAACAATCATAAATCGCAGTTTGTCTCAGTTGTTCAATTTTTACAATGTACGCTAAAGATTTGTGTCAAAACATTATAGCTCGTCTCGGAGGAGCAAAAGAAGGTAATATTTTTCTTTATATAGATTGTGAAATAATGTTTTATATATCAGACGATGCATATAACGTTCATTTTTTCTTTCTGACCAGATGCTTCTTTTGGATGAAAACGAGGTATGCCTCACTCGATCTTCTTGTATTCTTATTGATTGTTATTTTATGCTCATTGTTTGCTTTTTACATTCATCATTAAAGTTTTAAGTTTCTTAATAAACTCCAGTTACGTGACCTCAGAAAAGATAACAATCGACTTGAAAGAGACCTGGAGGACAAAGATAAGGTAACCATGACGATAAATGTAGATTTTGATAAAGGTTCATCAAAAGGGTCCTTTACGAAAAATAAAATAAATTGTGAAATTTTGCAACTGTCGGTGGATTCTCTATATTTATGATTAATGGCTCATAAACTGTCAAGTACCCCATTTTAATAGTGGAAAAAAAGCGCCAGAATCCGCTTTTCTTATAATATACTCAACTGTTTACTCTCGTGTCTTTGCGTGCTGAGTTTACTTTCAAGTTCAAATTGCTGTTCATTTGAATACGAAAAATCTTTCTACCATCATATTAACATCAGCCCCTTTTTGTACCTCAATGTTTATGTGCGATTTAAGTTTTACCATACCCAGTAAATGAATGTTCAAAAGTACAACTCTTAAGCCGTACACGAACACGCTGGAAACGTATTTTCAATACGCAGTAACTGTTACGGAGTTTCTCCTATACTTCTTGTTGAGCGTGCTGAATAAGCCATGTTTTTGTTCTTGTTATTTCTTATGATCTTGCGCTTAACAATAGTGATTTCTCTATCTCCATAGAAAATAAAACTTTTACAAGCTAAAATTATAGAATTAAAGAAGGCATTCCAACGAGAACTGGTAAGATGATTTGTTTTTGTAATTTCATAAGTATGGCTGGAGTCAACTCCATAAACTGCAAAACAAGAACAGCTAAGTAGACACGCATTTTCTTGCAACTAAATGTGCTTTTTGTATTTATAAGAAAATGGCTGCCCCGGGGGGCGAACCTGTGCAGAGAAGTCCTGGAACTCCGAATGGAGACGTCATTGTACACAGCGATGAAGAAAAAGAAAGACAAGACTATCTCGAAGTTAACTTTAAGTATCCTTTGATGTTTCCACTATCGATGATGATGATGATGATGATGAAACTTTATTTATGTGTCTGTTAGGGATCTAGCTCCTGACTAGCAAGGTGCTAATTGGTGACACAGTATAGTTAGACAATAAACATTATCTTGTACTAATTAATATCGAGACAGATCTTAGAAACTACGAGGCACACATTCCAATGAACCAGTTATCCGTTATCTCCTCTTACTATTCTTCCTCAGTCAATTCAGTTAGTTGGGCGATTAATCGGTAGGTTACTAGATTAGTCAGTCATCCAGTCAAGAAGTTAAAGTGGCAGACATGACGTTCAGTTAATCAGTCGGTCACGCTGTCCGTTTGTTCGTTCTTCCTTCAGTCGGTCGCTCGTAATCAGTCGGTCACGCTGTGGC